AAAGGAAAAGCTAGATTTGTTCAGAGAAGAGCGAGCGGCTCCGCGGCCCCGCACTTGCCGGGACTGAAGTGCCGAGCGCGGCCGGGACGGGCGGGAGCAGGGCCCCGGCCAGGAGGGTGGGCGGGACGGGAGCCTCCCGGGCCCTATAGAAAGGTGAAACTAAATTAGTAAACGTGCCGGTACTCTCTTTTTCTCAAAGCCTTACGTTAACTTTAATCCTCTCGTACGCTTTGTTCAGCAAGTAAATATTTTAGGGCCACCAACCCCCAGTGCCTGAGCAGTGACTGGAGGAAACCTGAATATTGTGAAAGGCCCTTTTTCCCTCTGACCAGCAGAGGATGCTCTGTGACCATGCTCACCGAAACCGCCGGGAGGATGGCAACCCGGTGGGGGGAGCACGGCTCTGATCAAATGCGCCGACCAATTAGAACCACTGGGCCAATGTAAAAATGGCCAAATCATAAAGGGCAGATTAGGCCTCAAAACTGCCACTGCTGATTCTCTTGGCTGGCTTTTGTTTTAAAAGGACTGCACTTTGAAAATGTTTAGCTTGATTTACTGTTTTTAAAGAATTGAGAAGAGTAAGCCAATCTTTTTTCTTATTTCAGTTAGAACTAACGCAATATATATGCTTTAAAAATTAGGCCAGCCAGGTATTCAAACACGTTTTGATCCCAAAAGGTCCATCTTGTCAGTTCAGACAGTGGTTGCGAGAAGTGGGCTCTGTCCGAGGGTGTTCATCCATGCCCTGGGACAGTTTTGAAGAGCTGAGCTGGCACTCAGCTCAGACAGATGAACCGCTGCCATTGAGTCACAGTTATTTTCAGCAGAACCGTTTTCTGCTGTTTAAAAATCTTCACGCTAGTCATACACTCTTCCTCGCGCCCATCCTTAGGTGGTAATTTTCTTAGAGCATTTGTATGATGATGTGAATCTAGTCAAGCTGAGCTGCATAGGAAGCTATAATTACTTTTTCTTTCCTGTGTAACTTTATTTTCCCTGGAGTTAACAGCTCTCGTGGTTGTATGTATTTGCTTCTTTAGCTTTCTATATATATTTATCCCTAATTCAATCTCAGACTCATCATCAGTGTTTTAATTAAGCCTGTACTCAAGATGCTCAGATAAATGAGAGGTCTTACCAGTTTCATTTTCCTGTAGAAGCCTCTCCTAGAGTCTTCCTTCTGACTTGCTCCAATGTGGACTGGCTGCTCTCTAGGCTGTCTCTTGAGATCTCCCTTCACCATTATTCTGGGAATTCCCATTATTAATGTTGAACCTCACGTTCCTACAATTTTCTTTTTCTTGGTTTGCTGTTTTCTTTTATAGAGCCCATACTGTAGTAACTTCCTGAAGAAAAATATGTGAGGTGTACTTTTTGAAGTTTTACATGTTTGGAAAAGTTATTTTTCTATCTTCACACTTCATTGATAGTTTGGCTAAGTATTGAATTATATGTTGGAAATACTATTTCTTCAGGTTTCTGAAAGCATTATTCCCCTAACTTCCAGCTTCTTAAACTTATTGAGTCTTATTTAGCCTCCTGCTTCATTCCCACCTCCAGAGCTATCTGGTGCGACCAATTTCTGAGGGTTTTGGGGGGGTGACGGCAGGGTGGGTAATGCATCCTGGAGTGTAAATTCGTTGTTTCTTGCTTCTCATCATTGCTAGCTTAGGATTCTGTTTTCTCAGGTCTTATTTTCCAGTGTATCTTAGATATTGTTTCTCCCTGTCTTTACCTTGGGAGTTTATGTTTTTAAGAAAAATCTCGTTACTGTTTAGTGGAATATTAGGAAGGAGTAAAATTAGATACATAGGCTCAATTCACCATCTTCCACAAAAGTCCTTTTGGTTATAGTCCTTTTAAGATTTTTGTGTTTGTGGTCACTGGTTTAATATGATTAACTTTCTTTCCATCCCTGTTTTACAGTTCCTGATGAGCATCTATTATCGTAAGTATATATCCTGTTGTATGTGGTTGTTTTTACTCATTAATGTGTTTTCAACATCAACTCTTGATTTTTAAAAATATTCTTACTAAACTAGGAACAGTATTTTCTTGATATGATTATTTAAAACTTGTGTCAAGTGAATAGCCAAAACCATATTTGATTGTACAGGGCATTCCCACATTGTCCTGTATACCACTTTTGTTTAACATTGTTCTAGAAGTATAGCTGTTACAAGAAATTAGAAGTATACCAATCTGAAAACAAAGACAATATCATTATTCGTAGATAATATAACTACGTTTTTAAAAGCAAGAGAATAAAATTATTTTTTTAATACAGAAATTAAAAATTGTTTCCCTCATACACAAAATTCAAAAATATAATTACATTCTCAATATCAACAAAAAAGTGAAAGCTACCTAGGAATAAATAACATTTAATTGAATATGTACACTTACATTTAAAAGTCCACAAGAGCCCTGGCCAGTGAGACTCAGTTGGTTGGGCATCGTCCCATGCACCAAAAGGTTGCTGGTTCCTTCCTGGTCAGGGCACATGCCCAGGTTTCCAGCTTGATCCTCAGTAGGGGGCATGTAGGAGGCAGCTGATCGATGTTTTTCTCTCTCTCTCCCTCTCCCTCTCTCTAAAAATCATTTACAAATCTTTAAAAAATAAAAGTCCACCGCAGACAGTAGTGTGATGTAGGCCTGGGGGATGGGGTGGGGGTGGAGGGGATCAGTGGAGAGATCTGTAATACTTTCAACAAACAATAAAGATAAAAAACAAAAAAATCTTCAATATAGAGCAACCTATTCTAGTGATTATCTTAGGGGGAATGAAGGAGAACTTAGAGAAGGGCTTTTGTGTTTCTAAAATTGTTTTTCAATGCTTATGTTTTAAAGAACTCATATGATTTGACACAGAATTGTCCATAGCTAATCTCCATATGTTTTTTCTAATACATTATTAGAGAAAAAAATTATTACTTTTAAAACAAAGAAAATAGGCAAATAATAAAAGAATGCATATTATCAAAAACTTTGGGAGAAAACGTAAATCTTACTAGTGGTCATAAAAATATAAGTTAATATAATGAGACAACTTTCCATCTGTAAAACTGGCTACCACAGAAAAAAAGTTGGTAAGACTGTTCCAGATGTTAGCAAAAACATGGAGAAAAGGATAACAGATACCCTGCTAATAGGAGTAAAAATTGGAAGGTAATCTGGCAACAGACAATAGGAGCTTTAAAACATACATATTCTTTGATCTGGAATTCAGCATGTAAGAATGCATCCCAAGGAAGTAATCATGGATGTTCATTAAAGATTTTGCAGTGAACATATTCCTCCATATTGTTTGTGGTAGCAAAGAAAAACCCCAAACAAACCTGGAAACAATCTAATTCAGATTAGATTTAATAAACTATCTAAAAATAGAGATTGGATAAATAAAAGTAATTCATCCTTACAGTGGAATTCTTTGTTAAAAGTGATACAGAAAAGTATTGCTTTCAAGAGATGTTCACAATATGTTATAAGGTGGACAAGGCAGGTTGAAAAATTTTTATTAGATCCATTTTTAAAGTTATGATTATCTCTCATAAAGTTACCACCAAATTTTTTTCCTTTGTCCATAGATAACCTCCATATGTTTAATGTAAAAATTGAAAAACTGTTCCCACTCTATTAGTTTATTGAATAGAGAGAGACTGGTTTGTTGGAAAATGAAGAAGTTGAACATTTTAATTTTGAAGTTGTAGTAGTCTGTCTTCTTGTTCTAGGTCAAACCATATGGGTTCTTTAAAACATTAACTTTTCAGTTTTAGTTCAACCCAACCATCTTATTGTCCAGTTTATAAAAATAATCCATCCTCATTTAAAAAAAAATGTTCTTGGAAAATAAAGAAAACATAAAAAGCAACAACAACCGTACCACCCAGTGATAATCACTATTACATTTTGGTTAATTGCCTTCTGTTTTTAAAAAAGTTTTATTTTGAAATAATTGCAGTTTTTTAAAGAAAAATTAACATGCTTGAGAGTTTCTAAATATACTATTTTGTGTCTAACTTTTCTCACCTAACTTATAATTTTCCCACATAAAATTTTTTCTGATATATCAATCATTAACAGCTGAATGGCCTTTATTACTAATCAAAAAGTACAAATTTAACACCTATCTGATGGTCAAACATGAAAAAGTCTAATATGGTGTTGGCGAGGGTGTGGAGAAAATAGAACTCTCCTACAATGCTGGTGGGAATGCTGTTTCTGCTGTGAAAGCTATTGGCAACACCTATTAAAACTGAAAAATGCTCGTATCCTCAGACCCAGCCATTTGCTCTTACTCATATACCCAGGAAAAATTGTTGTATATGTGCCCTAAGGGACAGGCACAGGGATAATTGAGTATTATTTATAATAGTGTAAAATGGAAATAATCAGAATCCTCATCAATAGGGTACTTAAAAAACAAAAATAGTATGTACATACTGCTTTTGTATATACAATGTGATATTACTCAAAAGGTAATTTTAAAAATGTGTATGTATATATCAGCATGCATCATTTTCAAAAGCATGTTGAACAGAAAAAATGTTACTAAAAAGCCTACAATATACCTTTTTTAACTTATAAAACAATACCATGTATACAATGTATGTGTGTAAATATACATACACACACGTACTACATAAAATATAAGAATATGAACAGGAAGGAAACCAACAGATGTTTGTGGTTGTCTCAGGAATGATGAGAATCTGGGAAAAATAGGAAACTAAGAGGCATAGAGAGGGCTCCATTTGTAAATGACACGCTAACGTTCATTCCGGGGGGTTGATGACATGGGATTTTGCTATATTATCTTTTTTTCCAAGCTAAAATGAATTAAATTTTTAAAATTCTGCTAGTGATCCTTTGGGTCACGTTACTGAGGTGAGATTGAGTCAGGCAGTCTAACCCGAAATCTTTCTATTTCTCAGGCTGAAGTTTGTCTTTGGCTCATCAGCCCTCCAGGCCTTGGATCTAGTTGATCGACAGTCCATCACTTTAGTCTCATCACCCAGTGGGAGGCGTGTTTACCAGGTAGAAATCTGGAGGTGGGGATTATCTCAACAGAAACCCCTTAGGACTAAATGTTTTCAGGAATTTCTGTGGAAGCTGGTGACCAGCTTTAAGTTATTTCCTGCACTGTTGAAAAGCATTTGACCCAACTTAGTAAAATTAGTGTTTTAGTAATTAAAGTAAGATAAATATGACCTATTAACCCTACATAGTAGCAGTGTGTAGGAGCAGCAGTGATGAGGAGGGGCTCTTTCTCAGATCTAATGGAGTATAGTTGACTTTTGCTTTCCTGTTGTTTGATAATAGAGGTCCGTTCCCCACCCCAAAAACGTATTAACATCTGCACCTTGTTCATTATCTCCTGCTTTCAAGCAAAATCCAAAATGTATTTTGAGGTCCTTCCACATGCTCAGATTCATCGGAAATGATCTTTTAAAACTGTTGTCAGGAAAAATTTATTAAGGGTCACACTGTGCTGAATGCAGACAGTCTACTTGGACCTTAGTTTTGTCCTCTCGAGTTTAGCACAGGTAGATTTGCAAACTACCAGCCTCTTATCAGGCTCTGAATTACTTTCATGTGTTATTGATAATTCTCACCAAGAGCCCAGCAATGTATTTTTCTGGAAACTGAGATGCAGAAAAGTAAACTAATAGTCATGGCTGGCAGCTGGGATTTGTAACTGCTATCCCACACTGCCTGTTTTTATATAAACAGTGGGCTAGACTCCAGCCAACCCCCCATTTTAGTTGTACGAGAATGGTAAGTGCACCTGGGATTGAGGGAAGGGAATATTGTGAATGAAATAAAAATATTGGCAGTGGTCTCCAAAATTTTGTGTCCGTCAGCTCTTGTAAATATAATTCAGGTCTTGCTGAAGACTAGGAAGGGAGGAATATTTCAGTGTTTGGATTCTGGTTTATTTACAATGAACTTCTCAGAGCTGAGACCATGTCAACTAATTCATAGTGAGTGAATGACTTGAGTAAAGCCTGCTGGTCCAGTAGGTGCCTTTGCTTAGTGAATTAACTTGCCATTCCACGCAGTAGCGTAGTATAGCCAACCTGGCAAAATATTCATGCATTTCTCCCGTAAGGAAAATGGGGCGATTATGGTTGAGGCTGCAGTTAAAACTTTTGGGTTGTGTTTACTTAAAAGAGGCTGCCAATTAAAATCTTCTCCTGGTGAATCTCTAGATTAATAATCAGAGCTATTAAACAATGTTAGTACCTGAGGAGGTATTTTCATTTTCTGTTCTTGTGTTTTTGGTTTTTATATAGCTAAAATACCCTAAGCGAGAAGGACCTTTGAGTTTTCCCTGTGTCTTTTAGTTTCAGATTTTTTTGTCTCAGTTCCAGTATCAGCATAACACTTGACCTGCCCAAGGAGACTTTTAAGTGTCCTCCAGTTCTGTGATCTAGTTATTAGTTAAAATCTTAAAGATTTTGTTTGGAATATTGGTTATTGTTGACTTTTGGTTTCTCCCAAGACTGCCATGACTTGTTTTGTTTTTTGTTTTTTTTAAACATGTCTTTTTTATTGCTTTCAGAGAAAGGAAGAGAGAGGGAGAGAGAGAGTTGAAACATCAATGATGAGTCATCATTGATCCTCTGCCTCCTGCACTCCCCAGACTGGGGATCCAGCCCGCAACCGGGGCATGTGCCCTGACCCGGAATTGAACTGCGATCTCCTGGATCCTAAGTCGAGGCTCAACCGCTGAGCCACGCCTGGCCAGGCTACCATGACTTGTTTAATCTTCATCATTCACATCCTGTATCATATTACATTCCTTTATTTGTCATAAAAATGCTGGCTTCCTAGAATTATGGCTGTCAGCTTGGACTTTGAAATTTATATACACCCTCAAATTAACCTTAATGGTTTTGCTGCATTGTCATATAGTAAAAATTAGGCTTAATTCAAACTCTCAGATGATGAAAGTTGAGTCAGACATTGCCACGATACCTTGCTAGTCATCTTTCCACAGGTCAACTTTCTGATACTCTTCCTCTCCTCCAGGTATAATGGTAATTATGCTAAAGTCACCATTAAGTTGTGGTCACCTGAATTGCTTTTTTATAAACTTTCTTGGTTCACCTAGGAAGGGGATGCATGTCAGGAGAGGCTAAATTATGCTGTGGTAACAGTGGCCCCAAAATTTCAAAAGCTTATAAAAACAGTTGTGTATGTCATTCATGCTACATATCCAGTAAGAGTCAGCTGCAGCTCTGCTCTAAAACATCTTTCCTCTGGGATCCCAGTTGGATATGCCCCTCCCTGTGTAGATCAGTGGATCTCACGGCAGAGAGAGAGAGGACATGGCATGCACCAGTTTTTATGTTTCTGCTTGGCTACCCATATTTTACTGGCTAAAGCAGGTCACATAGCCAGCCTGTATTTAATAGGGGAGGAATGTGTAATCCTCTTTCAGAGAGAGCTCCAACTACGGAAAGCAGTAAGTAATAGTTTACCACTGTGATGGGGTCCTGACAGGCTTGGAGCAGTCAGAGAACTGTGCTTGTGAGTGAGGGCCATCGAAGGTGGGTCGCCCTCCTTAGAGCCTCACTGAAGCCACAGCAGACTTCTGTTCATGGGTCTGAGTATGCTCTTTTCTGCGTGTTTCTTTTTTAAAGCTCTCTTCTCAGGATAAACATTCCAGACTGAGTGGGAGAACCGGGAGCAATTCCTGGGAGAGGTCATGTTTCCTTTGAAGGGTGAGGGAATTAGATGATCCCTAAGGGCAATCTCCAGTTCTACACATTTCTGACTGAGATTTTTGCCTGATTATTGGGTTCATTAGTTGTCCACTGCTAGATAAGGAAAGAGCAAATTCATAATTTGCTGTCTCTTTATGGTATTTACTGCCTCAAGTGGTTCAACATTGTATTTTTAGTCTTAGCCACCCTTTGAAAGGATCAGGCAAGGGAAACTCTGTAGCATTTCTCCCCAAGTCTAAGTCACCAGGCATTTATTCAACATAATCCAGAGAATATTCTGATGTGTGGGGACCCACAATAAGAAGGAACCAGTGGACCAGTCAAGTCAATGTGGAATTCCAGACGCTTATGTCTGCCTAACTTTAGAGAGAAGAGGTAACAGGAGATAACTAAAGGCTGAAGAAATCTAATGTCTTATTCATTGGTAATACTTTGGAGACCAAGAATTATGTCACTGCTGGATGTTGATGGGTTTTCTTTCAGGATTAAGTGGAAAACAGTCTACAGTCAAACCTCCTTTCTGGAATGTCTCCCATCCTGAACAGTTTGGTTCTCAACCAAGTTGTTCACAGGAAAAAATGTCTAGGTTGTCAAATTAAACTTCGTTTTCTACCTGACATCCCATTCATGCTGATACTTCAGCATGACAAAAAGCATCTCTCAGGCAACAGACAAAGGAAAGAATGCTTTTGTTGCTGGTGAAATCAATGATTAGCACAATTTTAAAACATAAAGAGGCCCGGCCGGGCGTGGCTCAGCTTTTGAGCTTCAACCTAGGATCCAGGCGATAGGGGTTTCATTCCCAGTCAGGGCACATGCCCGGGTTGTGGGCTGCAGCCCATCAATGACTCTTTCATCGTTGATGTTTCTATCTCTCTCTCTCCTTCTCCTTTCCTCTCTCTGAAATCAATAAAGATATATTTAAAAATAAATAAATAAAACATAAAGAGGCCATCAAGAATGCTACTGTTGCTAAGGTTGTGAAAGGAACAATGACCACAGGCAACTGAAGAGGTAGAAAAATTTGTTGGTTTGGATAAACAAAAAGCAGGCAGCCTGTGACAGCATTTAGGAGGCAGTGATATGTGAAAAAATTGTTTAAGGCTAGTAGGCAGTGGTTTGATAAATTTAAGAAAAGCAGTGTTTGTTTATAGATTAAACAGTGCACTAGACATGTATTGTATATAAGAAAGGTTAAAACCGGGGATCATTTGGGGGTCTGGAATGGATTAATTCAGTTTACATAATTTCTAATGGGAAAAAATGATTTGGTTTTCAAACAAATTGCGCTGTTTAAAAAATATATATATATATCTTTATTGATTTCAGAGAGAGGAAGAGAGAGAGAGAGAGAGAAACATCAATGATGAGAATCATTGGTTGGCTGCCTCCTGCACGCCCCCGATTGGGGATTGAGCCCGCAACCCTGGCATGTGTCCTGACCAGGAATTGAACCTCGATTTCCTGGATCCTAGGTCGACGTTCAACTGCTGAGCCACACCCAGCTGGGCCAAATCACTTCTTGAACAGCCTTCCAGGACAATGTTCCACTATACTTTAATGCTTTCCCTTAAACTTAAGTTTTCCAAGACACACTTGGGAAATTTCTTCACTGATACTCAGTGGTGTAGGTGCCTTGAGATTGGAAATGATGTAAGATGTGATTTTTTTGATACCTAATTTGTAACTGAGGCTGAAATTTTTAATGGGTATAGTAGGTATTGTCTTACCCAGTCATTGGCCATTTCTGGTAAATGTAGCAACCCCTGAGGAATTCTCCTGAGTTGGTCAAAAAACCACAGTGACATGGCCACATTGTGAACCACTAGGCATTTGACAGCACAGCACTTGAGCACTGCTATTCTTGGTTGAAGCCTTACCTGTTGCTTTATTTCCTGTAGGGGAGAGCGAGGAAAGAATCCTGGGAGGGCTGGCATTTTTCAAAATAAAAGCTATCTTCAGACTAAAACTAATTTGAAAGCTCTGTGGGAAGTTCCTAAGTGGCAGTGCATTGTAAAGGAACCCTCGGGATGTTTCTGCTTCCCTTGGGTATAATTGTACACTTCCAGTTTGGAAATTAACTGTAGGGAATGAAGCTCTCAGCATTGTTGTTTTGGGCTCTTTTGTAATAGACTTAAACAAGTGACTTCTCCAGTAAGTTTGTCATAGATGCAGCATCTTTTCCGTATGTGTCTCCTTTTTTGTCCCTTGATTGCCAGCAAGGCTGTTTGTTTTGGACTGGGCCTCTTCCCACCCCTCACATATCTGTGCTTTCCTTCCATCCTGCTGGATGAGTAGGCACGTCCAGGCTTGCCTCTTCCAGAGACCTCCCTCCTGAGCGGCTCATCATTCCTCTTGCAAAGTTCTTTTCATGAGTCTCCCTGCTCTCAAATGCTTTTCAAAGCCTTTCCCCTCCCTCCTTCTGAAACCTTTCTGCCTCACTACTTACCCTTTACCTGTTTTCATACTCTCCTGAGGTGTGTGGTGGAAACTTTAGAAATTCACACATGCTGAATACTGAAGGTTAAGAAAGAGACACCACAGTGACATGTCGGTGAGGGAGTGCCCCTCCTTTATAGTCAGCCCCTGCAGCCGGCCCTGAGTCCCTAGGTAGAGGACAGAAGGGTGTGTGTGCATAGTATAGCCTGAAATGCTTCAACTTCGCTGTATGAAGGCCTCAAGGGCAGAGTACTGAGGAGGGAAGAGTCTGCACACAGGGAAGTTGCATTTCCACTTTTTTGCAAAATGTTGCCACAGGTCTTCCCAGTGCAATCTGCAGAGTAACTGACATCAGTCAAGTCAAGGGGAGGGAGCAGCTTTCCAGCCGCTTTTGAAGTCTGATCCCGTTGGTCTTTTTCTTTCCAGGTACTTGGAAGTTCTGGTAAAACATACACATGTCTGGCTTCTTGTCATTACTGTTCATGTCCTGCATTTGCCTTCTCAGTGCTACGGAAGAGTGAGAGCCTCCTGGTGAGGATGGGTACTTCTCTTCCCCCCGCGGTCGAGTTAGGAGAAATTGTTAGCCCTTATTTCATGGTTTAAGAGCTGTACAAGATGGGAATTTACTACATGTTGAAACAAATAGTTGTTTATCATCTTTGACTTCCGTTAGTAATAACTCTTGGGTTTAAGCTCCCCAAATGCTGTGTCATTTTTAGAAATACCTCACCCCAAGTTTTAAGTTAAAAGGTCATGGACAAAGTGTTGGGGAAGACAAGACAATCCTGAACAGATTGGCACTGAAAAGTTGGCACTGGGGAATTAGGTAACCCGATAAAAGAATGAACTAAACTGGATGTGGCAACTTTGCTTGTCCCCAACTCCAGCCACGAAGTGTTTCTTCCCACAGCCCATAAGACAGCCTGGCACTTAGCCAACCTGACTCTCACATGAGGCAGGAGAGCACATTGATGCCTTTTCGCATTTCAGAGTCCAGAGCCTTGAGCAAGGAAAAAGGCATACTCATACAACTCTTGACTCCAAGCAGAAAGCACCACCCACCTGAGAGTAGGTGGCTATTTGTTAAGTCTTGTCAAAGGAGAAAATTAGCATCCATTCCATTCTTCCTGTTTTGCACTCTTAACTTCATTAAACACCTTGGGAACTGGGTGGCAAGTTGAGTATCCCATTGTACAAGAGCCACATTCGTAGCTGATGTGCCAGAGGTTTATTTCACCTACAACAGTGACACAATTAAACCAGTCACCCTTCATTAGCTAAAGCAGTGTCCCATGATAGAAGGTCCAACATACATCATCTCCCCAGAGGTGTGTACAGGCCAGTATGTGAGGATTTTGCCACCCTGCCTTCACCCCTCCCCCCACCTCATCCCCCAGCAGTGTAAGACAGTGGCTGAGGAATAGACTGCAGATTCTGAGCACATGGTTAAAATGGGGATAAGAGCTGTCCTCAGGGGCAGCTGTCAGATTTAAACGAGGTAATGTGAAGCACCTAACACAGTACCTTGGGAAGGTTATCCATTGCTATTAACAGCTTTCTGAAGGTAAGGAAGAAAGAAATACAATTTAGGACTAAGATGAGGAGCCTGTCTTGGTTATATACTCTGCCAGCCTGGTTCCCAAAACAACTGGCTAAGCTTCCTTTGTGCCCTCTGACTTGTAGAAAGAATACGTCTGTCTCAGCTTTATCTGCAGTTTTTAAGCAGAGTTAAAAGCCCATAATCTGAGTGCCTCACTCCTTTGCTGCTAAATGTAATGGTAGTGAAAGGCCTTGGTGAGCCTGGCCATGCCCGTTTCTAACGGGTTTGTGTTTTGTATTCCAGTGCAAGCATCTCTTGGCGGTTTACCTTAGTCAGGTTATGGGGACCTGTCAGCAGCTGAGTGTCTCGGATAAGCAACTGACGGACATGTTATTGATGGAGAAGAAACAAGAAGCATAAAAAATACAAACTGAGCATCGTTATCTTTCAAAATAGAGGTTCCAGCAAGAAATGCATTTAACTTATCATGGTTCACAGGGAAGAGAAGTGAAATAGATTTAGAAACTTCCTGTTACTGTCCCTTTTTTCTTCTGGACTGTAGAAGGCACTGTGGTTAGAACCCAGGATGTAGGTATGGTTTGAAGCCCTGTACAAGTCTCCTTGTGAAAAATCTGATGAACCAGCCTCTAAGCCCCATAGCTAAAGTATTTCCTAGATGGAATCAAATATTTTAAATTTAAATAAAGCCTAATATCATGTCTTGTCCACAATTAGATTCTTAAGTAACTGAAGTATTAGTAATTTTTAAGTGGTCGAAATGGCAGACAAAACTGAGTAGGATGAAATTTAGATGAATAAATGTTAATTTTTTTTAAAGTATATCTTTATTGATTTCAGAGAGAGGAAAGGAGAGAGAGAGAGAGAGAAACATCAATGATGAGAGAGTCATTGATTGGCTGCCTCTTGCATGCCCCCGACCCGCTACCCGGGCATGTGCCCTGACCAGGAATCAAACCCCGATCGCCTGAATCCTAGGTCAACGCTCAACCGCTGAGCCATGCCTGACCAGGCAATGTTAATTCTTTACCTTGGGTTCAGAAATCTGTTCTGTAGCAGTGAAAGATCAGAGCAGAGATGTGGGCAAATAATAGCAAGTATAAAAGGGCTTGCTGGGCTCCAGTTTCAGGGAGCTTCAGACACCTGTGCAGTTGGTACCAAAAAAGCCTCAGAAGGCTGTGTTAGGACCTAGACCACAGGAAGTGCTGGTTCTGCTCTGGGTGCATTTCTGAGCTTTATAACAAGCCAGATGAAGGAAGGGACTAAAACTCACTTCCTGACAGAAGCTGATGACACTATGAATTTCCCGTCTGAAGAAGAAAAGGCAAAAGAGATACCAAGAAGAGTGTTAGTGGGGAAAAAATGGGACTTGTTTGAACCCTAGGAGAGTGCAGAGGAGTTATGATGGATGGAAATGAGACAGATTTTTGGCCCTGGCCGGTTTTGCTCAGTGGTTATAGCATCAGCCTGTGGACTGAAGGGTCCCAGGTTCGATTCCAGCCCAGAGCACATACCTCAGTTGCAGGCTCCATCCCTAGCCTGAGTTGGGGCAAGTTGGGGGAGGCAACCAATCAATGTGTCTCTCTCACATCGATGTTTCTCTCTCTCTGAAACGCAATGGAAAAGTATCCTTGGATGGGAATTTTAAAAAAATAAAATGAGGAAGATTCAGCACAGGATAAGCACTTAATAGGTAAAGCTGTCTGTCCACAGCCAAAATGGGATCCTAGGACAGGAGTTTGCTGTCTGTAAGGGTTTGTAAACTGCATTGTCTTTGCAGGGATATTGCAGAAGCAACTGAAGTAGTGAACAGACAGATGAAAAAGGTAATTTTACAGCCTAGGAAACCCTCAACCCTGTGCCCACCCCCCCAAAACATGAGGTGTAGTGAATGAATGCTGTGTAGGCCATGGTGTTGCAGTGTTGTGGCTGGCAGAGCCTTTTATTACAATGAGATGTGGCAAATAAACTATGAAGACTTTTCTGCTACTTGGGAAACTTGGGCTAGGTATACACTTGTTTTTTTAAGCAGTCTTTAGGATAAAGAATAGAAGGTTCATGGAGCTCTGTATGACATGCCAGTGCAGCACCCTACACTTGGTTTCTTTAAGTTTTATTTTTATTTCACCCAACATATGTACACAATTGTGTAATTTTACTTAGTAAAAATTTCACACTTTGAGATCCAGCAAGTTGGAAAAGCTTGAAATTGGGAGAGAAATATAATGCACTACTAGCTGTAGGAGGGGAAAGGAGTCTGGAAGAAGGATCCCATTTCTCTAGTTTCTTTCTCTAGGGTCATTTGCTGTATATGGAAAAGAGTGTTATCAGAATTGTTACATAATGATGTTCTACTTAAGAACTTAGGAGAGTGTCATTTCCCTAAATTAATACAGTGGTTTCTTGATCAAAGAATTATACTTTTAATTTTCCGGGGCTCCTTCTTAGAAATAAGTATATATTTTTAGTATATCCAACTTTTATTTTTCCATTGCCTCTAAGTTTAAAAAACATTTTTATTATAACAGTTCACAGTGTTTCACAGTAAAATAGTTTCATTTTCTACCATGAAAGAGGCAGACTTTAAAAAAACAAAACATTTTTTTACAATCCATTTAAGCTGTCAGCATCATCCACACAGTAAGAGCATCCAGACAGGACCGTATGTATTTGTCAATCCTTGGAACCTACCAGTAACATGTACATATTAGTTAGGTATGTGGTAACTCCAGGAAGGTACCCAAAAGAGGCAACCCATATGCTTGTGGGGCACAGTCGTCTTTCACATGAGAATCAGCCAATCACATCCTGTCCCTTTGTTTACTGTGAATCTGTGCCTTCTTGAAGAGTACAGAGCCTAGGTCATAGGCCCACATCAAGAGCAGGCTGTGCCCCCACCTGCCCATTCCCACTCTTGAAGACATCTGTCTGGCAGAAAACATACCTGGAGATGATTTTGTGAAAAGTATAGCGAAAGTCTTGGTTCCTGTAGGCATAAACAATGGGATTGACAACTGAGTTGGCATGTGACAGGAGAATAGCCATGTTCATTGCCCACTTGGGCTTAGCCTGAGCTGGCTGAAAAAGAGTGACACAGTTGATGGCGTGCAGTGGTAGCCAGCACACAGCAAAAATCCCCACAATCATGGCCAGGGACTTGGCGGCGTGGATCTCCCACTGGAGGACGGTCCTGGAGTGGTCCATCAGCTCCATGCGCTGAAGCTGCCTACAGGCCACCATGAAGATCTTGATGTAGATCACTAGCATTATGAGCAGTGGGGGTAGGACACACCCAAAGAAATTGAAATATACCATGTAGCTCATGGGGACCACATTCTCAAAAAGACACCTCACAAGGCAGCAGCTTTCATTTATGGTTCCATCCCAGGACTCTGTGCAGTTGGCCGCACTGTCTTTACTGTTCCACCCCAGGAAAGGGGTCAGTCCAATGCCAAAGGCAAGCACCCAGAGAACAGCAATGACTCCTCTCGCTCGGGTCCCAGTGACCAAACTCTTATATCTGTTCAAAAGAACATCATCTGTTATTGTCAGTTAACAGTTCTTTGCAACCAAAGTTCAGACTCCCACCTCTGCTACTGTTCCATGGCTTTTACTCCTAACAGCCTCTAAAGTTCACCCTCAGAGGGTACTGTGGCCTTTTACTCTCAACACCAAAGACATGCAAACAGGAGGAACAGCTTTGCTCTCACAAGCTAAATAAGAGTTTCATTGACTTATTAACTCACCTCTGTTTACTGACAAATTATGGTCAATGAGAACAAGTGTAGAAGTCTTACAGGGTATTTTCTAATTACCCAGACACTGACCTTTGAGTTTAGGTCTTCTATAAGGCACTGGTCTAGGTGGCTGAGATACACCAGTGGACAGAACACACAAAGATCCCTACTTTTAAAGGGACTTTACATTCTAGTAGGGGAGACATAATAAACAACAAACATGAGTTAGTAAATTATGTGGTATGATAGAAGGATACATGTATAGTATTTAAGTTTAAAAAAAGGCAGCGTAAGGAAGATCAGAAGTGGCAGGGATAGTAGTTTGAAAGATGTCAGTTAAGGGAGGCTTCAGTGAAAAGGTAACACCTGAACAAAAACCTGAAGGAGTGAAAGTTGGCTCCTGCAGCCAGGCAGTACTACCTGGTGGCTCTGCTCAAGACTTCTCTGGTTCTCCCACAAATACACAAGAGGTTTGCCTCAGACTGCGGGAGGAATCACCCCAAGTACCTCGTCAACTACTGGAGAGCGAGTCTGGCACAGTCTCCACCTCTGCTAGCAGCAAAGGTGATACAAATAGGGGAATATCTTAGCAAATGTTAATTTTTAAGTAATTTTCAACCATTAAATCTTATTTAAAAATCACTAGAAATCAGAATATACATTTTAGACATTTTGCTATAAAGTAGTTAATAACTGACCCATAATATGTATTCAATGTAATATATTGAGTAAGTGAAATAAAATCTTTCCTTAACCTCTGGGAGGGAAATTTGGAAATAATTTGATACACATTACTTTAAGACTTGTCTGGAAAATGTCCAATTTTCTTTCCCAGCAGGATAAAGCCCATACTTTTCAGCATGACCCACAGAGCCCTCCAGGTCTCAGCCCCACATACCCAGTGCCTGCCCTTCCTAATCAATGGCTCCGCCTGGCTCAGGCTGTTCTCAACATCAGATAAAACACCCGTTCTTGTTTCAAGGGTCACCTCCTTTCCTGATCACTTCTCAGGCAATGGTGACCAGTCCCACTCTTTGGCGCCATACACACATTATAGAGCTTGTTCTATCTGTTACGTTTGTTGTCCTCTCAACTACAGTGTCAATCTCTTTAGGACTAGGGCCTTGTTCTTTTATACTGGTGTATCCGCAGGACCTAGTGCAGTGCTTGGCACATAGTAGATTCTTAATAACATGGCGATTATGAATACAGTCCTTGTTATCTGATTTATTATCAAACAGCTTTAAAACAAGATTCTACTTATGGTTGGTGGTAGACAGTGCTAGCAATTAAACAAAAGAAAGTCTGCTAGGATACTCCCAGGAAAGATTTTACTTTATTTTTTAAAGGTTTTTTAAAAATTAATTTTTAGAGAGAGGAAGGGAGGGGGGAGAAACATCAATGTGAGAGCGAGATATTGATCAATCAGCTGTCTCCCGCCCCCTACTGAGGATGAAGCCTGCAACCTGAGCATGTGCCCTGATTGGGAATCGAACCAGCAACCTTTCAGTGCAAGGGACAATTCCCAACCCACTGAGCCACACCTGCCAGGGCAGATTTTACTTCTTGATAAAAGAAGAGATCCAGGAGGAAAGTTCTTCCCCATGCACATACCTTTCTGCGTTTGATGCTCTGAGAAGCTGTGATGCTTAAAGGTGCAACATTCAATTTGTGATCAAGAGGGCAAGCCTGAAGACAAAGCAAATGGCAAAACAGAAGGAAGGAAAGAGCCTAAGTCCTTGATGACATCTCTGAACCACTACACCAACCCTAGAGTCATCATGACTCCGTGGTCTAGTTCAAGAGATAAGCAAATGTCTTGATTGCTTAAGCCACTGTTACCTGCACCTAAAAGCATACTCACACCAACTGGAAGGGACTTTTATCTCTTCTAGTGCAACCTCCCGTAATTTACAAATAAGGGAACAAAGATACAAAGTCTTTGAGTAACAAAGGCAATATAAGAACCAAGACTAAAGCGAAGTCAGGACTCTCAGGCCTGTGTTCCTTGGACCATGTTATGCTGCTGCTCATTTTACTTTAAAAAAAAAAAAAGTATTAGGCACAGAGTAGTCTGTACACAAAGGGATCATGAGGTGGCTTCCCACTACAGTTCAAAACAACTGGAATCCATTCACATCTGAACTTGTTAAAATTGCTGGATCCTGCACATGTGGAAAACTACAATTTTAAGCTAATTGTCTTCGATAAGGAAAAGAGGCTGATTCCATCAGGGAAGCAGCTTCCTCGGGGAATCCCCATCACAGCCCTTCTTCCCTGTTGGTCCACTATTTTATTCAGAGTTCTTCCTTTGTATCATGAACTCTAGGCACAATAAATATAATCACAGCCCTCAAGGGTTGTAAAGCTAATGGAAAAGACAAAATAAATACACACACAAATGTGTAATTACAAATCAGAATGAATTTGGCCAAACCAAAATGAATAGGACATCGGTAAGAGAAAGACAGGAAGACCTTGGACATGGGGTATCTGGGAGGATCTCCTAAAGCAGAGCCAAAGGCTGAGGAGGAAAACATTTGAAAGGTGGAATGAAGAGCTTTCCAGGCAGAACAGAGTGTGTAAGGCTCAGACAGGAAAGGATTTTACTTTCCTAAAGAAACACAAAGAAATGTGAACGGACCTAAGATGAGGCAAGGGCCAGCTCATTCGCATAGGAAGGAGTCTGGATTTTGATATTCAAAGTGCAGTGGGAACTACTGAAGGTTTTTAAGCAAAGGAATAGTACAGATTTATGTTTTATAAAGCACACAACATGAAGATTGAAGTTTAGGGGAGCAAGAAAAGCAGATCAGTTAGGAAACTATTTTCAGTGGTTAATTCAATATAAAAATGTTGACTTGGCGCTTCCAGTCAAGATGGTGGAGTAAGTAAAGGTGGTACTCGCATCCTCCCGTAACCACATCAAAATTACAGCTAAACCAGAGGACAACCTTCACTCAGAACTGCCTGAAGTCTGAATAGAAGTCCTATAACTAAGGATATACAGAAAAGGCCACACCAAGACTGGTAGGAGGGGCGGAGATGTGGAACAAGCTGGTCCCACACCCACATGTGGCAGTGTAAGAACATGCGGGGCCCTCGCCAGTTTTGCTCAGTGGTTAGAGTGTCGACCTGATGACTGAAGGGTCCCGGGTTCAATTCTGGCCAAGGGCACATACCTCAGTTGCAGGCTCAGCCCCAGTCGGGGCACATTCAGGAAGCAACCAATCAATGTGTCTCTTTCACAATGATGTTTCTCTCTCTCTCCCTCTGTCTCTCTCTTTCCCCCACTCTCTCTCTGAAAAAGCAATGGAAAAACTTAAAAAACAACACACCAAAAAAACCTCTGGAGGGATTAGCACTTTCAAAGGTCCTTCCCCAGATAGTGGGGCCAGGATTTGGCAGCTGGTGCTGAAAGGAAACCTGTGATTGCATCCTTCCCCTAGGGCTGTGCCAGTGGCAGCTGCCAATCACTAGCACAGAAAAAACAAGAGAGGGATATCTCAGCTGTGGAGATCCACCCTGAGGAGCAAGGGGGGTCCCAGCCCACACCAGGCTCCCCAGCCCAGGGTTTCAGTGCCAGGAAGAGAAGTCCCCATAACTCTGGCTGTGAAAACCAGTGGGGATTGTGACTGAGATGGGGGTGGGGGGCTGTTAGAGTATCAGGCATTCCTCTTAAAGGGCTGGTACATGGTTTTACTTGGACTCACTCACTCTGAGCACCAGTGCAGGGGCAGCAGCTCAAAAAACATCAGGGACATATGGGGAGGAACTGAATTATCCAGCAAGAGCTGGAGAGACAGCTTTCTCCCAGACAAGTGCTGGCAGAAGCCATTATTCCTTTGCTGAGCCCTCCTGATACAGAGCCAGGAGGCGGGCACCATGTCTGAGTCTCCATCAACCTGGCTATCACTGTTCACCCCACTCTGGTGATTCCCTGAAACACCACCCCACCCAACTTGTAGGCCTACCCAAGCCAGTTCCAGATTTTACATGCAAACGTACTGTCTTGGCTCATGCTGCAGTCTTTCCTCAAATCAGGTTCACAAATACCAAACAAGCAGTATCTGGCCTCCCCATGGCCCTTACATCTTGCTAAGTGGCCCAGGCATGCCACTAGTGGCAGCCAGCTTTGGTTCAAAGCTTAGCCTCTCCTGGGAACCTCCAAGCCCAGCACAAGTAACAGATATAGATCACTTTGTAGCTCATGCTGGGTGGCCCTGGGCAGGGCACAGGCAGTGGCTGACCTTGGTCTGTACCTCCTGGGAGGCCCCAGAGCCAGTGCACCCAGGGGGCAGTTTCATACCAAGCCAAAGGATCATCCAACCACCTCCATGAGTGGCACACTGGAGACAGACTGTTCGGACACCAGACCCCACTGAAGCAAGTCCTGCTCTGTGGTGTTGGCCCCTGCACAGCAGATACTCCACTGTGGCCACAGCCAGTCTTCACAACCAGTGAGCCTGGGGGGGTGGGGGGGAAGAGTAAATCTCTCCCATT